CCAAGCCGCCTGCGTTGTGAATTGCCAAATAACTAGCATTTAGTCCGCTAGCTCAATGCTAACATATAATGGATAACGGAATTGACGCGCTAACTGAAATGAGCATTTAGATATCGGCAATGTTAAACAACAGTCAACATGCTTAAAATAAACGTAATACTTACAGGCATTCATTTGCTGTGCTCTGAGGAAATGACTGATATTATTGATGAATTAATATTACCTGTAAATGTATTTCATCCAGCTGAACAAGGATAATTTGCTCCTCTCAAACAGGGACACACACCTCACTGACTTCTTCGTCGTTTTCCCTCTGTGTTTTTTACGTCGGCACTTCCTACAAAAGACCAATCGTAAATTCCTAGTCCTTTTTTCCTGATAAAGAACTTATCTTTGTAACATGACATATCAGTAAACAGAGGAAGTCATCGTTAAAACCCGTGCTAAAAATGTAAGACTTACCACTGCAGTCCGTCGACGTTTGAGTGTTTCTCCAGTTTCCTCCTCTTTTTGCAGTTTGCATTTCATTTTTCCTTGAAGCAATTCCATTTTCATTAAAAGTCTGTTTGGTGTGCAGTGTCATGATAACCTAAAACCATAGACTACTGCGGCGTTACTACTGCGTTACTGCGGCCCGTCCACAAACCCTAACACCCAGCGTAGTTCAATATGTACTGCCGCTGCCGGGCCAGACCGGAAGTTGAAGCACAGCGAACTCCGCCGCGGAGCGCACTAGCGCCCTAGCACCCTGATCCTCATTTCTTGTTCACACGATTCAAACCAATAGTTTTGATGTTTTGAATCAGGTATTTCATCTTCCTTGTTAAATTGACAAAGCACAGCTTCTGTATCTTCACTGATATACAATTAAAATATTAAAACCGTAATAAAGTGTTAATGCGCTGCAAATCGGGATCCGGCTGGAGCACTACGCAAGACACGCCCCTTCATAGCATTCACGTGCTACGATTGGCCATGAGCCTGTCACGTGCATCTCGGCTGAAAATGGACATGAGGAGAAGCAAACGAAAGAAGATGGGGTCCCGCAAGCGTTTGTTGTCAGAATGTAAGTATGAATTGAAATTTCTTTTTTATTTGAAAAATTAGTAACACTGCTTCGCGAAATCATCTCAATTGACACATGTATTACACTTTTTATCTGATCTGATTTGAGGTTGCTAGCTAAACCACGAGGACCCACCATGACACAGTTGTTACATAATAATAATAATAATAATAATACATTACATTTATAAAGCCCCTTCCTGGAGCTCAAAGCGCTTACATGACATTTAAATGTTCTGTAAAGTTCCTTATACAGCTTTAGACTTGTTTTTATCTCATAAAGTCCTTAAGTGACACACCCTGAACAGTCTGGTGGGTCATGTGCTGGGCTAACACATGTGACAGAACTAGCTACATTTCAGAGGCTTGTTTTTGGTTGCTAAAGGTACAAATCAAGCCATTTAAGAATTAAAATGCTTACATAACATGTCCTTTGTTACATTTAACCTGTTAACATTTCTTGATCAAATTGATATGAAACAAATTAGATAAAAATCGCTGTGACACTGATGTCACATCGGGACATTAACCTTAAACTTTCACAGTAAATCTGGAGTAACACATATGTCACAATTAGAAATATGATTATGATCTGCTCAGTTAATTTAGCTGATCCAATTATATTTAGTTAATATATTCTTTATTCTTCAATTCAAAGAATGTTCAAACAAATTTAAATAAAAAAAATCCTCCTCATTCATTAAGTTATAAATAAGAGTTACTTTACCATTAAATGAACTTTAATGTGACATTGTCAGAAATGTGGTCTATTTAGTCTAAATTATGTTCCCCTTAATTTCCCCAAAAGTAGAAATGGGTCTGGGTTCTTATGGGTTAAATTAGTTAAATTGTTAAATAAGTAAATGACATTAGGGCGCTAGAAACGAGAGTATTTTATTTTCACACAGCATTGTTTTTTGCGTTCAAAATTAAAACAGGCTAACCTTTTAACGCTGATTTGGGTGACTTGTGTAATTCGTGGAGAACCGAAGAGTTTTCGTTTTGGGGGTGTGGGGGGTCCGACTCACAGACTGACGGACAACGGAACGCCGCTCCAGCACTTCAAATATTGCAGTACCCATAAGGATGCCTTATACATGCCGCAGTTTTTGCGTGGCTGTGTCTTTAGTTGTAAGCCCATTGGCGATCTGTTGTTATTAGCATCTGGTTAGCTAGCTAGCTATAAAGAGCTTTTTCTACAACCAGGTGGAAGAGAGCTCTCTCCTGACAGACTGAGAGGCTCAAATAACCTCAGCTCAGTGAGGTTAAGGCACACCTTGATATGATCATTATAGTTATATAAAAAAAAGAGACTAAATGAAAAACAGGTATAAAATACTTTGACAGTAACAAAAACGTTTTTTAAAATAACAAGAATACAGTTTAAAAGGGGAGTGATTTGTAAAATATCCATAAAGAAAAAGAGAAATCTGCTTACAGGTCTGTTTCATATGGGTGTGCACCAGATTGATGCATTTAACTTCAACATTTAAAAACAAATTTGCACACATCTTGTGTCCATATCTTTCTGTTTTGGTGGTCATGCCACAACCGTGTATGCATGCATGCGCGAGTCATGGTAAAATATCTGGATTAAGAGGTTGCTTTTTCTTTGCACAGCATGAAAGAAAGGCGAAATGAATGGGCTGTGATTTTAGTATTTTTAAGCAGAAATTGAGTTCAATAATTTGTACGGCCCTTGGAGAAAGTTGTAAAAATTGAAATGGCCCTTGAGAGAAAAAAGTTCCCCACCCCTGATCTAAATAATAATAAAAACCCTTGATTTGTAACTTAACATCTCTGTCTCCTATTGATCAGAGTATATTATAAAGAATAGCCAGTTAATTGAAGCATTATAGCGCAGGCCTTTGTCAGATGGTATATTACGCTGTTTTTTCTGTTTTGAATAGTTCTCTCTTTTTTCACCATACGTGTGTTTGCATCCCTGAATATAAGTAGGCCTATAATGTTAAACAGAACATGCTGTGATGTCGCTCTGTTCAGAGTGACACCAGTGTTTCCAAACAACTCCATCTCTGTTGGTCTCTGCACGCTTACATTAACCTGCAGTGTCAGATTTTTCAAAAAAAACAGGGAGAGCAGCTTCTCCAAACTGTTCAATTTAAAGGCTGCTGAGACATGAGGATGCCAGGCTAAAACTTGGCAATATTGATGCGTTATAAATTAGAAACGGAGCAATCTCGATATAGCGTTAAATCCACATTGTGGATCGTCTTATCAGTTATCTCTATTAAACATGATTGGATAAAAGTAGAGCTGATTGCCCAAACCTAACTTCTGTATATAAAGGTACACACCCCAAACACAATAACTAACATTTAAACATTACTTTGAGCAAAGCTACACGACTAGTAATACCTTTACACTACACCAATGCATTACACAATTTTGTATGTAAGGATTACACTACCACTATATAACACTAGTACAAGAATATTATCAATACTAATAAACCCATATCCAAACTGATTTCTGCACTACAGACATCATTAGGATAGGCAACAACAAAGTACTGTTGTTAAATAGTTAAATATTTGTCTTTTTTTCTGTTTCAGTCCTGACCCCAGAAGACGCCATAACCCGCTACAAGCGTGTTCTTGAGGCGGTGAACAAGGGCAACAATAAAACGGCAGCTTACAGAGCGGTAGGAGTGGACCGCAAAACCATTGCCGACACTGCAGGAATTGCAGAACTGCATGCCGTGAACCCGGGCATCTTCCAAGATATCCGGGGAACACTGAAGAAGGGGGAAACCCTTCTCCGTTTCTCTGAGATGTGTAAGTCTGCCATAAAGGAACAACATTTAGAGGGGAAGGTCCAGGACTTAAAGACGAATGGAGGACTATTATCCATTAATCCAAAGGGGAAGTAAGGAAGGAATGGATGTTTTTTTGCTTTGCACTTGTTTTTAGTTTTTTTTTATAAAAAGTCGTTTTTATTTACATTTTTCTTTTTTTTTATGTTCATCCTTGTTTCAATAAAAATGTAAAACTTCAGTGGCTGTAGATCCGTCATTGTCATCAACAGTGTTTGTTTGTTTGTTTGTTAGTTAAACTGCTTAACTAATGGTAAGATAATGGTGAGGTAATCATTAGTTAATGGGTAACTACTGTTTTAGTAATGGTAAAGTAAGCATTAGGTAATGGGTAACTACTGTTTTTGATGCATTACTTTACTTGAGGGGACACATACTGCTTAATGAATGGTCAAGTAAGCATTAGGTAATGGGTAACTACTGTTTTAGTAATGGTAAAGTAAGCATTAGGTAATGGGTAACTACTGTTTTAGTAATGGTAAAGTAAGCATTAGGTAATGGGTAACTACTGTTTTTGTAACGGTAAAGTAAGCATTAGGTAATGGGTAACTACTGTTTTTGTAACGGTAAAGTAAGCATTAGGTAATGGGTAACTACTGTTTTTGTTTGCGTTCCTTGAGTTTACCGTACCCAAACGGCCTAAGTAATGGTAAGGTAAATAATGATGACTTAAGCAGTAAAACGTGAGTCGAATCCACCTCCACCAGTTGATCCAGTGTGGGACCCAAGCCAGCCGAAGATGGCAGGTTTAAAAGTGCCCTGCTGCAGCGGACCATTGCTTCAATCAAAGTCTCCCAGGAACTCCTCATTAAGTAACCATTAACGAATGATTCATTAATACAGTACCCCCAGTCTGTTTACCAGTAACTAACCATCCATCGAAGTCACTGAGGAACTACTCATTAACTAACCATTAACGAATGATTCGTTAATGCAGTACCCCCAGTCTGTTTACCAGTAACTAACCATCAGTTCCTCAATCGCAGTCCCTGAGGAACTACTCATTAACTAACCATTAACTACCTAGTAGTTCCTCAGTAACTAAGCAGTAACTAAGCACATTTTGTGTACCTTATTGTAAAGTGTTACCGTGAATACATTTATGTTGGACTGAGTTAAACAACAGCTAAATAAAACAAATAATGACACATATTACAACAAATGTAGTCTTTTGACAACTGTCAACATTTTTCATGTGTTGCCTGATCATTGATTTCTATCATGAAACAGCTCCCTGGATGCACAATACGTAAAACAAGGTTAGCATTAACACTTGTGCTACAGGAAGTGGACTGGCAGTGATGACAGTGATTTGAACTTCAAGCCACTCCATGAAAGTTGACTAAAAAAATCAAGGTGCGAGACACATCCATTAACTTTCCCTGTTCAAACACTTTAAACAGTCCACACACAGAGCAGGCGCAAGACATATGAAATTAAATGATTGATCCAATATTGGTTTTACACTAAAATCCCAGCAGTGTGATATGGGATAATCGTTTGGGCACTTGTGTGAAGCTCTGGTGTGTTATTGAAATGTCTCCAGGAAACAGTTCTGTCCAGGGAAGGTTTTAAAATAACCAGAGCTTTTCCATACTTCTGTTTTTCCCATCCTTGTCACCCAGTCCAGGATCTCCCGGGTCCCCAGGCTCAGCTCCACCCCTCAATCTTATCACCATGTGAATGGTTGATTCCTTTTCAATTATGTAGTGTGATAGTAGAAAGTCGTCCACCAGTTGCTTGCCTCTGAAGATCAGTCGCTGTCGTGACTCTAAAACATGGACATACAGGAACACACGCGTACAAAGAAAGGGGGTCAAAATCAGGCACTAACAACATTTCTATAGAAGATATATGTCTTAGAAGGTCATTTTAAGTTGCTTTTTAGACCTGCAGTCCTACTAATTCCTGGTGGAATGAACATTTATCTAAATGTACTCCAAAGTCCAAACTTAGCGAACTTGTAGGCCTACTATACTTGAGTCTTCTCTATTGTATTTCTTTATCATGCCACTTTCTATATCTGCTCCTCTCTATTTTATAAAGCAAATATTGTAGTTTAACAATTTTTTTAATGGAACTGCTGGTTAACAATTCCTCGTTCACGGCATGCTGCCAATCTACCGAGGTGCACGGTGGTAGATGGTTTTGAAGGTTATATATTGTCAATTAACACTCTCCAGACAAAATCAGCAAAACAGGAAAGTCAATATATCATTCTGCATTGATCTATAAATGAATATTGGGGTTTCTTAAACCTCTTCTATAGCACGAAACGCCATTCAGCTCATTGAAACCCTGCAGCATGTGAATGCAACCAATAAGTGAGCAGCCTCTGTCACAGGATGTCAACGTTTTTGTAAAAACTGTAAAACTGCTGAAAATGTGACTGCTACAGTATAACCATACTGACCTAAACACACACCTGACTTCTCGGTTATAATTAACAGCTTATAAATGTTCTGATGTGTATGTTATTTCAAAAACCCAACAAAGGTCCTGTAGCCCACTACATTCTGACGCCTATCAAATGGCAAAACACTAATCACACGGAATATGGTTACATTTTAACTTTATGGTTTAAGCATATAGGATATAATCTGCGTCACAGTGGCTATTTCAATAGTGATCATACCTGAAATTCCCTCGAGAGCTTCAATCTTGTGTTTCAGATCCAGCACTGTGGTGCCCTGAAACTCAGTGTCGTCCAGAAACACTGAATGTGTCTTACCATCCAGGCCTTTAATGAAGATTGTCACAACCATTTCTGCGGTGTTGCTGTTTGGGTTCCTTTACTGTATCTGGTTGCAGATTACCGACACCGACTAACTGAATAAATACTTTCAGTTTCGTTCTTAATCTTAAAGGTACACGCACCAGCCTTTCAATTCTCATGCATTGTCTCTGTATTCTAGTTAGAAATCTCTTTGACTGCATTCACGTAAACAAAAAAAGCCTTGTATTCAAAGTTTATTAAAAATGCTCTATTTAAAAAGCATTAACATATCAAAATATTTAAAAAATCCAAGCCACTTATGACAAAGATACAGATATTATCCCTGTCATTTCCTCACTTCCATGGCGCTCTTTTGTCTCTGTCCCTGCTCTTTGCAGACTGTCCTCTATCTTCAGGACTTTTCCCTCCTTTTCTCACAGTTTGTGTGCAGTCTGCAGTCACAGCATGTTGCATGGTCTCCCCGTCTTTCATCGAATTGTTGGATTTTCTGCATAGTTTTGGAGAGTTGTTACACTTAATGGATGGCTGCATGCAAACTTTAATCGGCTTGTGTCCTTTCAAGTTTGTAAGTGAAGAAGAAGAATAGGAAACAGGAAGTGACTTTACATCAGAACTACACAAATGTTCTTCTGCTTCCACATGTTTGACTCTATTTCTAAGGCTTCCTTTAGTTTTCTGTGTTCCCCAGACAGTCTCATTCACCTCCAGTCTTTTCTTTGTGGATTGCTCTAACACATGGTTTATCTTGTGTGTTCCCAAATGTTCTGAGTGTTTCCCTCTGGTGTGTAAAAGCTGCATGGGCTGCTCTGAGTTCCTATCAAGCTGCTGTCTGTTCTCGTGACTCTTTTGTAGCGTTGGAAAATCTGACTTGTGTGATTGCAAACAGTCTCCATCTGCTCCAGAGTCTTTGGTGCCTGGCTTCACACAAGGTGCATTCAGGAGCTTCAGGTTTCCCCCTCCATGGCAGCTTCCATCATTGAGTTGATGATGAGGAACAGGAAGCTCTCCTCTCTCTGTCTCGTCTTGTCGTCCTTCAGCATCGACTCCTGAATGTGAACGGAAATCATTCTCGCTTTCATCATTTTGTTCAGGATGTCTGCTCACTTTGAAGAGAGATAAGAAAGGTTATTATTGAATTAGGCCTTATCATCTTGGACTTAAAGGGACAGTGTTTAGACTAGCTTCTTTTTGCAGGTTTTTGGAGGTATGGGGATGTCTGCTTACTCTTGAATGGAACTGGATGGCACTCAACTTGTGGTGCTCAAAGTGATAAAAATAATTTTGAAAAACTTGACAGGAATGTCTCTTTCCAAAAATCCTAACCTAGTTACTCAAACAATCAACAGACTTTGTCGTGAGCAGCTTTCAGGAACTATTTACTAACTACCAAACACCCACTAAACATATCACCGCGCAGAAGTACGCGTTCATCTACTCAAGGAAGAGAGGTTTCCTTCCTAGTTCCTGGCTCCTTAAGTAACGGCGTAAGATTTCTGAGAATAAATATTTCTGTTGAGTATTTTGTTTGCCTTTATGAGCACCACAGGCGGAGTGACATCTAGTTGCATTTTATTCAAACATAGGTAGACAAATTTGGCTGATATCACCAACACTAAAACTAAATCTAGATAATTAATAGCACTCAAAAGACATATTGGAAACTAGAACTGCACATTTTCCAACTCACCCTTCTTGTACATGAGGAGGTAAGCTGTACAGGACCTCAGGGAGTGATTTGAAGCCCCAAAGAGTGGTGGTTGAACCTGTGTGATTCAAAAACAATTACAGTAAATGTTGTACTGTTTAACTGAGCATAGATATGTGAAACCTGCATATAGAGAAACTAGCCTCCTTACCATGTTAACAATGTTGTCATTAAAGTGATACCACGTGTCCGTTTCAATAGATTTGATGTGCGCAGTGTAATGACCCCCTGTTAGATTCCCAAAGTGGTTCACTAAAGCGTAGGCTGGGGATCACTAACGGTAAGTTTCACTGTAGGAGCTCGAGTGTTAAAATCCTGCAGACCCTCGAGCCTGGTACCAACTCTGCATATGTTAATAATTATATTTTCTGTCCTTAAAAATACTTTCAGTATATGAGCAACGCGATGCTGCTGAGTATTTTGAGAAGATCCTGTGTATGACCAGTCCGGATGCAGCTCAGTTACGGATAACATATGAAATAATTTGCATATCTAATATTATATTAGATATAGATGTATATTTATACACCATACTCTACCCTGCTGTTTATATATCCAATTTATTTTTATCATCAGCACCTCATGCACTTTTATTCTGAGACAGGAATTTTTTAATGTATGTCAGCTTGTATTTTTCAAGATTCTTATGATAGTTTTTGATCTTATATTTTTGTTTGTATGTATAGTTTTTTAATATCTAGGTGTGAAGAGTTGAGCCTAAGAATTTCATTGCACAGTGCAACCGCCCGGTATAATGTTGATGCAGCATTTAACACTTTTATTTCATGAAAGTGGAGCTCATTATTAACGATTTAATAAAGCAGCTCATTATTTTAATTGTGGATTAAACTGCAGTTTTTTTCTTGATCTATTCATTAATTATTTGGTTTGTAGGCTGTTATTAATTAGTCAGAAATATGCAACATTATTACTTTTTAAAGTCTTGGGATTTTGGACTTTTAAGTGTTTTTGTTTTGTTAGCAGAATCTTAATTTTTGAAGTTACTTGTAGGAAATGTATTGCAGTATAACTTACACAATTTAGTTAAATTCCACTGCTATTTGATTCTTAAAAAGTTACATTTCAGTTAACGGCATGAGCTGCTCAGCAAAACAATCCCTTTACGGCATGCTCCCTGTGGCCTTTCCCTGTCCTATACTGCCATCTGCTGTCTGTAGCGATATACCATTTTTTACCAAAAACATGCCGTGGAGGCCTTGGAGAGTATAACTTAGTTTATAAGACAAAATACATTACAATAAACTGAACATGTGACCACATATTTTGTGTGCGTAGACTTATCTGTAAGCGTATTTTTTCATGAAAAAAGTGAGCCTTAAAAATATATTTGTTCTCATAATGTTGTATCGTGCACTATTTGTGTTGCCACTGAATGCTGCTTCTGCCTATTAATCTCTGTTCATTAACAGTAGATCATTAATAACCAAATCACTAAATAAAGTGTTCCTTAACGTCAAACAGTTGCACATTTCTGATTACATTTCCTGCATTTTAGACAGAGTTGGAAAACGTTTTGATCCCCATGACCTTTCATGCAGAATAACCTGTCAATTATGCATAGGAGGAGATGTAGTGTCCCATAGAGGTTAATCTCAAAACAACACTAAACGATGACACTGGTGACAAGTTTTAAGACTGGAAAAGTGGTAACGATCCAACAAAGTCACAGCAGAAGTTAATGAAAACGTTAGTTAAGCGTATGAAATACTTTCAGTTTTCGTTCTTAATCTTAAAGGTACACGCACCAGCCTTTCAATTCTCATGCATTGTCTCTGTATTCTAGTTAGAAATCTCTTTGACGGCATTCACGTAAACAAAAAAAGCCTTGTATTGAAAGTTTATTATAAATGCCCTATTTAAAAAGCATTAACATATCAAAATATCAAAAAATCCAAGCCACTTATGACAAAGATACAGATATTATCCCTGTCATTTCATCACTTCCATGGCGCTCTTTTGTCTCTGTCCCTGCTCTTTGCAGACTGTCCTCTATCTTCAGGACTTTTCCCTCCTTTGCTCACAGTTTGTGTGCAGTCTGCAGTCACAGCATGTTGCATGGTCTCTCCGTCTTTCATCGAATTGTTGGATTTTCTGCATAGTTTTGGAGAGTTGTTACACTTAATGGATGGCTGCATGCAAACTTTAATCGGCTTGTGTCCTTTCAAGTTTGTAAGTGAAGAAGAAGAATAGGAAACAGGAAGTGACTTTACATCAGAACTACACAAATGTTCTTCTGCTTCCACATGTTTGACTCTATTTCTAAGGCTTCCTTTAGTTTTCTGTGTTCCCCAGACAGTCTCATTCACCTCCAGTCTTTTCTTTGTGGATTGCTCTAACACATGGTTTATCTTGTGTGTTCCCAAATGTTCTGAGTGTTTCCCTCTGGTGTGTAAAAGCTGCATGGGCTGCTCTGAGTTCCTATCAAGCTGCTGTCTGTTCTCGTGACTCTTTTGTAGCGTTGGAAAATCTGACTTGTGTGATTGCAAACAGTCTCCATCTGCTCCAGAGTCTTTGGTGCCTGGCTTCACACAAGGTGCGTTCAGGAGCTTCAGGTTTCCCCCTCCATGGCAGCTTCCATCATTGAGTTGATGATGAGGAACAGGAAGCTCTCCTCTCTCTGTCTCGTCTTGTCTTCCTTCAGCATCGACTCCTGAATGTGAAAGGAAATCATCCTCGCTCTCATCATTTTGTTCAGGATGTCTGCTCACTTTGAAAAGAAATAAGAAAGGTTATTATTGAATTAGGCCTTATCATCTTGGACTTAAAGGGACAGTGTTTAGACTAGCTTCTTTTTGCAGGTTTTTGGAGGTATGGGGATGTCTGCTTACTCTTGAATGGAACTGGATGGCACTCAACTTGTGGTGCTCAAAGCGATAAAAATAAAAAAACTTGACAGGAATGTCTCTTTCCAAAAATCCTAACCTAGTTACTCAAACAATCAACAGACTTTGTCGTGAGCAGCTTTCAGGAACTATTTACTAACTACCAAACACCCACTAAACATATCACCGCGCAGAAGTACGCGTTCATCTACTCAAGGAAGAGAGGTTTTTTTCCTAGTTCCTGGCTCCTTAAGTAACGGCGTAAGGATTTCTGAGAATAAATATTTCTGTTGAGTATTTTGTTTGCCTTTATGAGCACCACAGGCGGAGTGACATCTAGTTGCATTTTATTCAAACATAGGTAGACAAATATGGCTGATATCACCAACACTAAAACTAAATCTAGATAATTAATAGCACTCAAAAGACATATTGGAAACTAGAACTGCACATTTTCCAACTCACCCTTCTTGTACATGAGGAGGTAAGCTGTACAGGACCTTAGGGAGTGATTTGAAGCCCCAAAGAGTGGTGGTTGAACCTGTGTGATTCACAATTACAGTAAATGTTGTACTGTTTAACTGAGCATAGATATGTGAAACCTGCATATAGAGAAACTAGCCTCCTTACCATGTTAACAATGTTGTCATTAAAGTGATACCACGTGTCCGTTTCAATAGATTTGATGTGCGCAGTGTAATGACCCCCTGTTAGATTCCCAAAGTGGTTCACCAAAGCGTAGAGGTCATATTTGCATTTCTGCAAAAAGGGAAATTAAGCAAATCAACACGTTTAAGAAATCAAAGAATCTGCTGCTGAAATCAAGACATATATAGGAAAACATACCCCGATGAACAGAGATTTCGGGACATCCACGTTGCACTGGAGCTTAACGTAACACCTGAGCTTGTAGTCAAAGCTGAATCTCTTCAACAGGAGGGTCAAAATCTCTGGATTTGTTGTTATCTCACATTTCTAGAACAGATAATGAAAACATCACGCATGAACACAAGAGTTGCAAAGTCGCTTAACATATTAGTGACTTCAGAGAATCTAAATCAGGGTTCAGGTATGAGGTTCAACACTGTTTAATGGGGAGCAGTGGAGATGCTTGGCGATGTATTAGACATTATAAGGTCATATATTTATTCGGATCTACACAATCTTTTTTAATTCATTAGTATCTGATGATTTTAAATACCCACCAACACTGCGTCTTGCTTTTCATTGCACCGGTCGCAGTACATCGTGTCGTCCCCGCTGCATTTTTCCCCCTTGAAGAATGCCTTTAACCCTTTCTCCTGTAAACATGGTACATGTATTCAACCTGCCTGCATTGGAATAAATACACAACGCTTATTCTCATGAAAGGAAAACACAGTACCACGCTGTAGATGTGACCACGCAAGTCTTCTATTGCAAGTGGCAGAACCCAAAAAAAGCTCCTGGACTGGTTCCTCTCTTTGCACTTCAGGCATTTTGTGATGTGATTCAGCTCCCCTTTGAATATCTAGACACAAAGACACATCACAGGTTCAAAACTGCTGTGAAACTTGGTATTTAGACTTAGAGACTGCTAAGGGTTATATTGCTGCTAATATTACACTGAAATGTAGCTTTTTAAGAATCAAATAGCAGTGGAATTAAACTAAATTGTGTACGTTATACTGCAATACATCTCCTACAAGTAACTTCAAAAATTAAGATTCTGCTAACAAAACAAAAACTGTTAAAAGTCCAAGGTCCCAATATTTTAAAAAGCAATAATGTTGCACATTTCTGACCACTTAATAACAGCCTACAAACCAAACAATTAATGAATTGATCAAGAAAGAAACTGCAGATTAATCCACATTAAAATAATGAGCCGCTTTATTAAATCGTTAATAATGAGCTCCACTTTGATGAAATAAAAGTGTTAAAAACTGCATGAACATTATACCGGGCGGTTGCACTGTACAATGAAATTCCTAGGCTCAACTCTCCACACCTGGATATTAAAAAAACTATACATACAAACAAAAATATAATATCAAAAACTAGTCTAAGAATTAAAAAAAAACTTAAAAATCCCTGTCTAATAAAAATGTTTTTTTTAAATTGGATATATAAACAGCAGGGTAGAGTATGGTGTATACATATACATCTATAACTGATATAATATTAGATATACAAATGATTTCATATGTCCGTACCTGGGCTGCATCCGGACTGGTCATACACAGGATCTTCTCAAAATACTCAGCAGCATCGCGTTGCTCATATACTGAAAGTATTTTTAAGGACAGAAAATATAATTATTAACATATGCAGAGTTGGTACCAGGCTCGAGGGTCTGCAGGATTTTAACACTCGAGCACATACAGCAGCAGTATAATGCCTCAAATCCAAACTCACCATTTGTGATCCCCAGCTTTTTTGTGACGTCATGTGTTCTGGACAATCTTTTCTGTAAATCAGAAAACAGTCTTCCCAGCTGTGAGTCAATGGTTGTTGAATCTTTACTGCGGCACCTGTGGCACAGTGAGAGGAATATGATACTTTATTAAATGTGTTACCAATCAAGCAAAGTCACATCATTTTGGACTGCACTGATTTTCTTTTTAAGTGACACAAACAATCTTTCTTAAAGGAATACCTTTACATTTTCGCAACAGGAAATAAGACGCTTGACCCATCAGCAGGTTAGCATAAAGACTGGAAAGTGGATGGCATTTAACTGGTGTTCCCAAGTTGCCTGATAACTAAACATTAACAATAAATATTCAGACACATAACCCCTCATAACACTACAACATGTTATTTTTAGGTTTTGTATTTTCTTAATTTAAGAGGTGCTGGTAGTTGTGTGTTGTTAGCATTAGACAGAGCTAGGCTAACCCCCTTGGTCCAGTCTTTATGCTAAGCTAAGCTAGCAAACTGCTGGCTCCAGCTTCATTATAAAATACAAACATATGTGGTTCCCAGCATGTCAATCTATTCCTATAATTAAAAAAAAACATTTATTTTGGTTTTCATTTGATCTTAACAGTCTAAACTTTATCAAAATAAAGTCAAGGTTACAAACTGTTTTACAGCCTCCCGGAAGTCTTCGGTCATGTAAAGCACCTGAAGAATACTGTTCAGATAGCATGTCAGACCTGGACTGTTAAGGCCATGGTAATCTAAGGAGACAATAGTCAAATTAGACACTTTATCATAAAACTCAGACACATAAAAGCAACATGTTTGAGTGGCATCATGTCATGTCACCTACCTGTGAAGCTGTCAAGTTTCTCTCTGAATTTTTCAACAACGTCATACTTGATGCCTTTCAAATGAAAATGTTTGGAAACATTGTTTTTTTTTATGTATCGACTCATCCTGTTGAAGAACATACAGCAGAAGTTAAGAGACAGCAAGCAGGGAAAACTTCAATGGCCACAGTTTAGTTTTTTAGAGTACTGTATGGCCTTATTTTGCACTCAATGCTAATAAACTAGCTACGGAATCATCAACAACAATAGAATCACAGTGAAAGGTAAAAAGTCAGGAGTTTTAAAGAGGTCTTTGCATGTATTTTGATAGTGTTTTGTTGGCTAAGAAAGATGGTGGAGAGGAAGTTGTATTGCAGCTAATACCATGAGGGTGGATACGCTGTGAAAGGTGTACAATTTAACATGAAGAAACCAGAAATTGGATAATACTGGCAAAGTTATGAAGATAATGACATATTTTTCCCATTTCACTTTTTAAGTCATACATAGAGACAGACATTACATCTGATTAAGTATTATGTTAATCATTTCTAAATGCAAAATAGTACCTTTCATTTTTTGGAGGAAAGTAACTAAGTTACTGCAATAACTCTACATTTAACTGACAGTTACAGTTAAAAAAAAACACATCAGATTTACACAGTAATATGTTATGATCAGTTTATAAAATATTACGCATTGTTATCTATAAATCATGCAGTAGTATACACAATAGTTCAAAGTAGCTCTACATCCACTAGACATGACACTTCACACACAATAATGCATCGCTATTAACAATCCAATAACATAATACAACATCCTGATATCTAGGCATAGAATGGCAATGAGTTGAACAATAATACAAATTTAGAAAAAGAAAGCACTGATCGATGTATAATCTTGCATGGCAGCTACAGGATGAAACTAAAGGGCGCTTCAGTCCAAGAAAACACATATTACGTGCAAAGGTGAAGAGTAACTAAGTACATTTACTCAAGTACTGTTCCTAATCACAATTTTGAGATACTTGTACTTTACTTGTGTATTTATTTTTCTTCTAGCCCACTAGAATTCAGAGGTAAAACGTGAACTTAACTGTAAATCAACACTTAAATAAGACTTTAGTTACATCTGGAGCAGACAAAGGAATTAAAACTAGCTGCACCTTTACCAGCTTTGATAACACTTTAATGCATCAATGATTATAATCAAAACATATAATATAGCCTGCCCTATATTATTCTGAAATGAGCCAATCTGCATAATGAGTACTTTTACTTTTGATACTTTAAGTACATTATGATGCTAATACTTTTGTACTTTACTTGAGTAACATTTTGAATGCAGAACTTTTACTTGTAACTGAGTATTCTTACACTCTGGTACTTTTATAAGTAAAATCTGAGTAACCAGTGAACGCAGCTGGTGTGTTTGGGTGTTATGGAAACCCACGTTGCCTCTCAGTCCTCCATTACCCAATCTTGTGTCAACAAATCGTTCAGCAAATGACAAAAGTAAGCTATAAATAGTAAATATAAAGTAATAGCCACACGTACACGATAACTCATAATAACACGCATGGCCACTTCTTATTTAGTGACATGGGAGGGTAAACACGAGACGACTCACCGTGCAGCTTATCTAACCGACGGATTCCTTCAGCTTTCTTTCACTTTCGTTTTCAGAGAGTATTTGAAGGAGGGAGGAAACGCAAACCCGAGAAAAGCTCGATAATATTTCACCTATAGACCCTGAAGACTTTACCTAAATCACTGGGTTTTGAACTTGAGCGAAATCACTGTCTGGAATTGTTGCTACTTCCGGTTTGACAACAACAATAACAAGGTAATACATAACTTCCTCGTATACATCTATATATATTTATATATTTACCGGTCAATAGAGAGTTTTATTCACCGCGTGTCATATACTGTAGGCCAGTGGTGTAAGAAGTACTCAGATCTTGTACTTAAGTAAAAGTAACCTACAATAGTAAGCATCAGAATACTTTAAGTATCAAAAGTAGAAGTACTCCTTATGCGTAATTTCAGAATCACATGAGTTGCTGGGTTACTATTATGATTATTCATGTGTTTTTATCTCAACTGGTAAAGGTGGATCTAATTTAAATATCTTGATATACTGCTGCTGGACATCTTAACCTAAAAATATATGTCAAAGTTTATTTAAAAATTGATTTAGACTTTGTGTTAGCTAATCATCTAAAGCTAAAAAATAACTTATAGTATATAAAGTAGCTTCAAACTGAGAATACTCAGGGAAAGTACAAGTACCTCAACATTGTACTTAAGTACAATACTTCAGTAAATGTAATTTGTAACTATCCACCACTGCTTTAGTCTATTACTTAACATTTAAGTTGCTTAAACTGAATTGAAGTTTATATTGAGGTAGCTTTTCAGAATAAGACTCCAAAATTAGATGTGCAAAGTGTCTTTTAGTGTTTGTGAATACAATAAATAAAAATGAATGTTTTACGTGATTGACAAGGTGATTTTCATATAAATGATATGTATATATTTTTGTTTGTAGTGCACTTTTTAAGCCATCAGCACAAAGGGCTTTCCAAAGAAATACTTAGCATAAGATATACTAAAACATATGCATAACCGAACACATATGTATTGATATTATCATACACACACTGCCTGAATAAATACTGAGTTCTACTGTATGTACTTTTATGTGAACGTGAACCAGCTGGAAAATTCCCTAAGTTTCTGTTCAGTGAGTCAGATTTATGAGCTCAGTCAGCTGAAAAAATATCAGAGCCAAGATGTTTGTCTTGTCAGCAGCAACAAGTGTATCTCCAACACCTTATGTTCAGAAGTTTTCAGATGACTAATTATATATCAAATATAAATAGCTCAGTCAATTAACATCAATAAATCCACATTATGCCACCTATCACTCCAGCACCTGCATAGAAAAAGCACAATTGTTCAATATAACAGTATTCCAGTGATAGTTGTCTGTACACTCAATGGTTCATTGTGAAGATGGACTTCTATAAAGTATGTTTGCCAATCTGTAAACTAAAATGCTCGAAACAACTCGTTATAGCCTATAACTGACTGATTTAATGTCAACATGTGTAACTCAAAGCGCCTACATTTTGGGAGTTGTAACACGATAATGCCACAAATTGAAGTAATGCAAAGAACAATAAAATAAAAAAAGTCTGTGTTCATTTAAATCTCACTTGTCAGAAATCATTGTTTTTTGTCCACTTACAGGACAATCATGATGAGCATGCGGGGACAGGAGCAGGTGGAGAAGAGGTACGACCCCCGGGACACCACCCTGAAGTTTGTGAAGAGGAAGGACGACCTGGATCCAGTGTGTGATGAAGACGATGGTCTCAGAGCAGAGATGTCCTGCGGCCACGCCGTCACCCCCGACTCCCTCACACAATGGTGTCGCAGCCAGCTGGATGATGTATGTCCTGAAAACACTGGAAAGCAAACATTGGGAAAGAGACAGTGGGTTAAAAAGACAGTTGGTACTGGTAGCATGTTGCTATGTTATAAATAGATTGCAATGTAAGAACATGTTTATTGTTTCCACTGGGATGCTCAGCAACACTTCTATGCTTACTCTGCCACCTACTGGCAAGTGCAAGCTGTTTCTCTATAAATAAAGAAGTCAGTATTTAAGGTTAGTATCACTCTAAATAAGATGCTAAATCTAATGCAATGGAGTTGTATGCTTAAAGAAACAGCACAGAGGAGGTTTACTGATGCTTCTGATGAGCGTGAATCAGCAACAGTGCACAGAGCAAAAGTTAAAAGGAGAAAAGTAAATATAAAATGTAAAATAAAATGTAAAACCCAATAATCAAAAGTAGAACTTTTCTGCAACACTGAATGTTTCCTAAAGTATTTCAAGAAACATCAACCGACACAACTTCATTCCATAAATAAGGAAAATGTAGATTAGAAAGTAGAATAAAAAGGTTGCAGTAGAGTAAGGTTTTTTACTGCACTAGTATGAATGACGTTATACCAAAGGTCCTCTCGGTTTGCCAAAGGAAATAGCCTATTGTCTGCTAGCAGTTGCAATCATTTGAGCAGTAAACATCATTTTTTCCCCTCTCTACCCACATAAACCATGTTTTGAAGGCCCAGTCATGTGCACCAGTTTTCTGTAATACTAAAAACATGTTCTTCTCTTTGTTGTTTTCAGGGTTATTACAAATTCAGATGCCCTGCGGTGGGGGAGGGGACCACACAGTGCAACAAACTGTGGTCGTACCAAGAGGTGCGCAGACTGGCAGATCTGTCTGTGGAGGAAATGCAGTACTTTGAGGAGGCCATGTCTCTTCTGGCTGCTGCAGAATACTGTGAGATACAACCAGTAAGTGTTCTTCATTTAATTTAAAGGTCTCCTATCATGCTATTTTTATGCATATATTATGGGTCTCAAATATATAAAAATATATATAAAACATGCCTATGATGTGTTTTGCTAAAAATACCAAACAGATCATGCATTTTAGACATCCCTCATATCCCTCTATTCCAGCCCTGTTAAGGCCCTGACACACCAGGCAGTCACCAGAGAACTCGCCGACATCCGACACCGACAGATCCATCGACGAGTTCTCCTGCGTATTGGCCGTGTGTCGCACTGAAATACACCGCTTTACTACAGCCGAGCACGTACGAACTGCGCATGCGTGAGTGGCAATAACTCTCCTTACCAGCAGGCAGCGGTAGTGTGTATTCGTCATTCAAAATAGGCAACAACCGGAAGACAGAGAAGAAGAACAGACTGATATACAAACAAATAGCGGGTGCCGTTCGAAACATGTTTTAGAATATAAAAATACATGCATGATGAAATGAGCACATAAAGTGCAGACATACTATAAAATCACAGTTAATAGACCTGCATCTGATGATCGCAGTGTTCTGGCGGGTGTGTAGTTTATTGAGTCAGCAATGTAATAATGGCCACTTCTTGCTAAATTTACGATGAGATGAAAAACCGGACTTGACCAAACAAATCACGGAGCTCTCAGCAGAGGACAGCCGGGGACGCTCCCGCCGATATCAGAGATGTCCCTGCTATGTGTGGGAGGTAAGAGAGGACATTTAAGGGCTATGTTTGATGTCTTTAAGTATCACCTGCTGGGGTTTAGCTGCTGTCTTGTGCCTTAAATCGTTTGTTTACGTCCCTCACTTCCGTTTCACTTCTCATTTGCTAGCTGAACAGCTGATCAGAGTGGTTTCTTGGCCCGATAGCTTGTGTCCAACACCCGGCCGATTCAACATGTTGAATCGGCCGGGTGTCGATAGTGAAAGGCCAAATAAGGCGTGTCACGGCCGAGGGTTCGGGACACACCAAATTGACTTTGGGCGACAAGGAACCCGTTTTCGCCCAACAACGCAAGACGGCCGATATCGGCCTGGTGTGTAGGGGCCTTTAGAGAATTGCTGATTTGGGTCCTTAGCTTGAAAACATTTTTTTTACGAGATACTCAGCTAAATGCTTGTTTTCTGACACTTTGTGAGTTCCCTGACACACCGGGGACACATCTTTATGTATTAAATACATAAAAAAGTGCATTTTGCATGATAGGTCCCCTTTAAATGTGGCATTTTCTCCTATTCAAATATTCAACATGTTCGTGCTCTGTTTCTCAGTGCCCACAGTGCAGGACGAGTGTGGAGAGGAAGGATATCTCCAACCTGTGTGTCCAGTGCTCCATATGCACAGCGGATCTGAAGAAGATCTACCATTTCTGCTGGCAGTGCATGAGGAAATGGAAAGGTCCGGGCCCTCGATCTGACTGCTGCGACAATGACGGCTGCATGAACAGGGACCTCCAGCTCCTGCAGACCTGCAAGACCCTCAGCCTGCCCGCGGTGGAGGGGGTCGCCGACTGCCCCTCGGTCCGAGCCTGTCCCACATGCGGCATGAAGGTGGAACATAGCCAACAATACTGCAAAAATATCGACTGCCCTCGCTGCCGCGTGGCTTTCTGTTTCGTCTGCCTGAAACTAAAGAGTGAATGTTGTAAAACCAGTTCACCGTACAAAATCTGTCCTAGTGGCGTGGCTCCGAGACAGGCTGCTATCCCTGTGTGGCAGAAGAAATGAAAAGAGGGATTTTATTATAGGGTTACATGTAAATAG